TTCCATTATTTCAGGTTTTTTGAGTGCTGTTTTATGGTTTTCATATATTTTTATATAATTTTTCTTATTACATTTAATTGTAGTTAAGTCCTTTTTTTTTTTTTTTTTAAATTAATANCCTTTTTTTTTTTTTTTTTGAAATATGAACTTCTATGAAGTTATGACATGAACAGAAAGCGTAACTTATCTGTCTTATTTCTTCTTCATTATTTCTACAATTTGGGGTGAGTCCTGACATTCACCGTAAGTTTATTCTAGGTAGAGTGTGGCCTTCAGGAGAACTCGATTCGTCTCGCGTCGTGACGGGTACTATGGTTACGAGAAAAGGTCACTTCGAATAGGGGTGTGGGGTGAATAGTTTTGTCTTAATCTTAGCGTAGGTCGTAGTGAGTAAACCAATCGACCCCTTCTTTCTTCCATTTCACCCCCATTAGAAATGTGCTCTCGCTTGTTACCATAGCAGTAGACAGCCCCAGACTTTCAGTCTGGAGGAGTTCTCCTCAAAGCCGCTTTATATATTTGCTTCCAGCGACTATTTTTCATCCGTCTTTTGAAATTACTGCGTTTTAAAGTTGGTCATATTTCACCCTGTTATATTTTTTTTGAGAGTAAGAAGAATTGAATTAATACACAACTCTTGCTTTTTTTAAAATGTCAAGTGCTACAATTTCACTTTTTAAGCATATTAAAGATTCAATATTGTTTTCAGATCGGAAGTTATTGTGGATTTGCTATTATCTTCATCTGTCAAACGATGGAACTGATCATCTTTCCTGATATATTCGACGGCATCGGTTGGCAGTTTTACGTAGCTTTGGTCATTCTTCCATTCATTGGTCTTTCTTTGGGTTATGGATTGGCCTTCATCTGCAGACAACCTCCGCCAGTTCGAAAAACTATAGCAATTGAATGTTCCATTCAAAATATTGGAACGGCATTAACCGTTATCTCCTTGTCATTTCCTGTAGAGGTAAGGAAAAAAATATTTACCGGTTTGGTCAATTTAATTGATTCCACAATCCATTTTTTGTTAGGAAAAAACAAAATCAATGATTAAAATTACACTGAGAAAAAAAGGATGGTTAAAACTACCAGAATAGGGTAAAGCTTCCCGTGTTTCAATTTTAAGGACTGCGTATTTTATGTTGAATTGCTAAGAATTAATTGTCTGAAACTATATTATTAAAGAAAAAAAAACACTTTATATAGATTTTTTGAAATTAATTTTAACATTTTTACTATATACAGTTAGGTAAACTTTGCTGATAAATTTGAAAATGCTTTTTTATATTAAGTTTGGGAAGAAGTTTTCAATTACGCATAGTAATCTGTCTTAGGTTTAAACAAAAGCTTTTAAATTTTATAAACCTTAGTCTTCAACCTGAATAAGCGAAAGAACATTTTAATTTTATAAAAAAAAAATAATAATAATTTTGTTAAGATTTAACAAGCTAGCAATTTCAATTATATTAAAAGTAATCATAAAAAATTAAAATTGATAAACAATAATTAAAAACAATCTATTTGAATTTTTAAAAAAAAAATCAAAAATTTTTTTTTGAAAGCTTGTTTAAAATGCCTGTCAATGAGCATTTTTTTCAACAATAAATGCACTAAATTTTATTTTCGTTGTAAAATTTGGAGGCAAAGAAATTATGCCAATATTTGTCTTGTTGCTTCTTGCTAAATAAAATTTATATTTTACCATTTAATTTGATAGAAATTAATTAGATGCACTGTAAAAAATACCTGATCCAATTCCGGTGAAAATTACTAGCATCCTGGATAAAACTTCCGTAAAATTCATTTTATTGCAAAATCCATTTTTACCTTAAAATTTTATACCGTAATTTTAACAGTATTATCTATTTAATTACAGCAATTCAGTGATTTTACAGCAAATATTACTAAAATATTACGGAATATCAGATTTTTTGTTCCAATATTTTATAGCAATGATAAAGATAACTTTAAAAAAAAATAATAAGGTAAAATTGCATTTTACGGTAAAATGCACCTGCACCCTGAGTGCTAGTACTCTTAAGCATGATTTGATCCAGAATTCTTTCATAGAGCTGAAGCTAATTTTCCAGGACGTAGTTTCCATGTTCATTTTAACAGGCACTAGTTCAAGCATAGTTTCAATTCGGGAAAAGCTATTTCATCTACTGTTTGTTTAAGATAAGTACTCTTCCAGACATTCGTCTGGAACTGTGGCGGTGACTATGGTAACGAGGTATGATTATTTCAAGTAGGGGTACGGGGTCCTTCTTTAGGACTGGTTTCGGCGAGAGAAAAGGAGACCTCTTCATCGAAGCTACCCTCCCTAAAATGCCCTATTCTTGTTTCCATAGCACCAGACTGCCGAGGACTTTGTGGCGGGAAGAGTACCTATCTTAGACAAACAGTACCTAATATTTCTGTTGATCGAAGAGTGATTTAAACACATCATTGTAAATACATTTATCTAATCGTGAGTTTCCTTTATTTTCAGTTGCAAAAGAAGATTTTGGCTTTCCCATGGTTGTATTCCTTACCTCTTATAACTACTGTCACAGTTACTTGCTGTTGTTATCAACTGTACAAGCGTACTTGCTTCAAAAATAGATTCGGATCTTGTGAGAAGAAATTGAACGGCTTGGCAGGTAAGGCATGATTTTCGAAATTCAATGATTCAGATTAATTCAATTTTATTAGAAAAATAAGATGAATTAGTTCTATGGGAATTTTCATAGCGATATTTAATTTTCAGAAAAGACATTCGGAAATAATGCGTCCTTTTGAAAATTCTTTAGCTAAAATTATTGTTTTTTATTTTGAAATTTTTTATGACTTCTGAACACTAAGTGTTTTGAACCAGATCCTAAGTTATTATCAACAAGTATTTAAATATAATTTAAAAAATGTAGTGTAAAATAAATTCATGTGCCTGTAAAAAACTAAATGTAGGAAGAAAAAAGGAATTTAATATCTTTGCAATTGCAGAAAGTTACAAATAAATCATCTAAAATTAAGTAATATAAATTATGTAAGATTGACAATCTACACAAAAACTAGCAGATATATTGAATGCGAACTTAATATAAAGTTAATAAANCTGTATAGAAATATATATATATATATATATATATATATGCTTTACTCAAAAAAGGCAAACTTCGTTGCCAGTAATTGGTATGACAGTATTCTATATCATAGCACCGTTTATGTTTAAAATTTCTATGGCCATTTCAGAAAAGATCTAAATAATTGCTTTGTAACTAATTTTTATTTCTATAAGAATACAAAATTAATCTACATAAATACTTAACGTATACTAACTATTCATTTCAATTATTACTTAAGACAACATAACAAAATGAATAATTACTGTAGTGTTACCAATGGATGGAGCCAATATCCATATATCCGACCGCATGGTGCCATGTAAGAGAAATATGTATATAAATTATCGTTAGGAACTCAATATTAAAAATCATTGCATGGTTTATCTTTTCATTTAAATTTTGTCAGTTTTTGGCAAATCTAGGTCAATTTGTATTGAGCTAAAATAATAAAAAGGGCCTGAATTTGATAATGTTTAAATAAACCAGATGTGTTAGTGTATAAATTAATACAGAATTTTGATAATACTGATTGTTAGTAATCCAAATATTTCTCTCTCTCATTTCTATTATTATTATTTTTTGGCACTAATCATCAAATATTTCTAAACTACAACGCATGTGATTATTGCAAAAAAAGTAGACAAACATCTTCAAGTGCAAACAATTGTTGATCTGTGTTGGAATTTACACAAAGTAGTATTTTATAACGTGTATGAATAAACTAAACATTCTTAGATGATTGAGATGTTTAAGCTCATGTCAGTTTTGTATCAATTTATGGCGTAACTACCACTACGATTATTAAACATCAATTCACTACTAAATGAGACATGCTCGATTTATTCTTGGTGTACCTTTTGATATAAGAAGGTTAGTATAGCCGTGAAATCTATCTCCATAAATGAATCTTGGGAAAACGTTTTAGCTCCATTAGCGACTCAAAAATGCAAACAGTTGATGGATTGCTGAAGGTCAATTGAACTAGTTCGGTATAATTTGCCTGATATGGAAATGTCTAAATTACTTGGTGACATATAGATTAAATGAAGATTATCTGATTAACCTTGATGCGCACCCCTAATTAAAGTAAATAAGATAATTATCTTATTTACTTAAGATAATATTTAAGATAACGAAGTTTGGTTGATTATATGTGCGATAACATGCAATGTTTTACCTGTAACTAGGTTTTACACATGCTACTTTTACTATTTTTACGTGTTTTTCATTATTTCATGTTTTTTGTGTGCTGTTTCATTATTTTTACATATTTTTATGCAATTTTCTTATTACATTTCATTGTAGTTGAGGTTTTTCTGTTTTTTTACTCAAGTTATGATATGAACAGAAAGCGTAACTTATCTGTCTTATTTCTTCTTCATAATTTCTACAGTTTGGGATGAGTTCTGACCTTCACCGGAAGTCTATTCCATGTATAGTGTGGCTTTCAGGAGAACTCCTCCAGACTCCCGTCTTGCGTCGTGGCGGGTACTATGGTTACGAGGGAAGGTCACTTCGAATAGGGGTGTGGGGTGAATAGTTTTGTCTTAATCTTAGCGCAGGTCGTCGTGAGTAAACCAATCGACACTATCTTTCTTCCATTTCACCCCCATTAGAAATGTGCTCTCGCTTGTTACCATAGCAGCAGACAGCCCCAGACTTTCAGTCTGGAGGAGTTCTCCTCAAAGCCGCTCTATATCTCTGCTTCCAGCGACTATTTTTCATCCGTTTTTTTTTTAAATTACTGCGTTTTAAAGTTGATCATATTTCACCCTGTTATATTTTTTTGAGGGTAAGAAGAATTGAATTAATACACAACTCTTGCTTTTTTTAAAATTTCAAGTGCTACAATTTCACTTTTTAAGCATATTAAAGATCCAATATTGTTTTCAGATCGGAAGTTATTGTGGATTTGCTATCATCTTCATCTGCCAAACGATGGAACTGATCATCTTTCCTGATATATTCGACGGCATCGGTTGGCAGTTTTACGTAGCTTTGGTCATTCTTCCATTCATTGGTCTTTCTTTGGGTTATGGATTGGCCTTCATCTGCAGACAACCTCCGCCAGTTCGAAAAACCATTGCAATTGAATGTTCCATACAGAATATTGGAACGGCATTAACCGTCATCTCCCTGTCATTTCCTGTAGAGGTAATAAAAAAAATTACTTAAATGTTTGGTCAATTTAATTGATTCCGCAATCTATTTTTCGTTAGAAAAAAACAAAATCAATGATTAAAACTACACTGAGAAAAAAAGGATGGTTAAAACTACCAGAATAGGGTAAAGATTACCGTGTTTCTGGCTCTATAGGAACACCAAAATGCTCGGTAATTCTTACCGAAGCACTTTTGTAATGATTTTGGTAAAATTAACTATAGAATATGGTTTTATAAAATGACACAGATTCGGTAATTTTATCATGATACCTTGAAGCATATGGCATTAAAACCATTTATTCAGTTTTTACTTTACAGTTTCGTATTTTTTTACAAAATGTTTGGTAATAAGAACTATCATTTTGAGAACCAGAATTTCCGGTGAACAGCTATTACACAAACAGAAAATTTACCAAATGAATGGTTTAAGTACCGTATATTTTGGTTTAATTAACCAGAATTTTGATTTTTTTTTCCTCCAGAAATATTATTACCGTCAATTTTACTAAAAAATTCTTCACCGTGTAAATATAGTAAAGATAAGTAATAACTATTAGCCTTTGCGATTTGTATGCTAAAACAGAGACAAACTTTCAATTACTTTTACTCCTGTATGAAAAACGTTTTTTCGAGAAAAATGTAATATAATTTAAATTTTAAATTCAATTGCATTTTAAGTAAGAAAAAGTATAGAGTTTGTCTACAGTTATACAAAACCTATTACACCCAGATAATTGCACCCATATGCTTTGTTCCCATATACTTTAGACTTAAAAGACATAATTTGGATCCGTAATTTGAAAATAATATCTGCAATCCTCCAGTATTATCGAATTTAGAAGTACAATATTTTCTTCATATTCTGTCCAACAATCAATACACAAAAAAACAAAAAAAGGAAATAAAAATTTTAATATCTGATTTATTCAACTAATAAAGTTGTTTTAAATTCCTCTTTTTCATAATTTTTAGTTGGTTAAGAAATTTTTAAGGACTGCGTATTTTATGTTGTATTGCTTAGAAGTAATTGTCTGAAACTATATTATTAAAAAAAAAACACTTTTTATAGATATTTTTAAATTGATTTTAACATTATTACTATATACAGTTAGTAAAAGTTTGCTGATAAATTTAAAAATGCTTTTTTATATTAAGTTTGGGAAGAAATTTTTCAATTACGCATAGTAATCTACCTTAGGTTTAAACAAAAACTTTGAAATTTTATAAACCTTAATCTACAACCTGAATAAGCGTAAAGCACATTTAAATTGTATAAAAAAAAATTTATAATTTTGTTAAGATGTAACAAACTAGCAATTTCAATTATATTAAAAGTAATCATTAAAAATTAAAATTGATAAACAATTATTAAAAACAATCTATTTGAATTTTTTAAAAAATCAAAAAAATTATTTTAAAAACTTGCTTGTTTAAAATGCCGGTCAATGAGCATTTTTTTCAACAATAAATGCACTAAATTTTATTTTCGTTGTAAAATTTGGAGGCAATGAAATTATGCCAATATTTGTCTTGTGGCTTCTTTCTAAGTAAAATTTATATTTTACCATTTAATTTGATAGAAATTAATTAGATGCACTGTAAAAAATCCTTGATCCAATTCCGGTGAAAATTACTAGCATCCTGGATAAAGCTTCCGAAAAATTCATTTTATTGTAAAATCCATTTTTACCTTAAAATTTTATACCGTAATTTTAACAGTAATATCTATTTAATTACAGCAATTCAGTGATTTTACAGCAAATATTACTGAAATATTACGGAATATCAGATTTTTTGTACCAATATTTTATAGCAATGATAAAGATAACTTTAAAAAAAAAATTAAAGTAAAATTGTATTTTATAGTAAATTGTACCGGCACCCTGAGTGCTGATACTCTTAAGCATGATTTGATCCAGAATTCTTTCATAGTGTTGAAGCTAATTTTCCAGAACGTAGTTTCCATGTTCATTTTAACAGGCACTTGTTTAAGCATAGTTTCAATTCGGGAAAAGCTATTTCATCTACCTAATATTTCTGTTGATCGAAGAGTGATTTAAACACATCATTGTAAATACATTTATCTAATCGTGAGTTTCCTTTATTTTCAGTTGCAAAAGAAGATTTTGGCTTTCCCATGGTTGTATTCCTTACCTCTTATAACTACTGTCACAGTTACTTGCTGTTGCTATCAACTCTACAAGCGTACTTGCTTCAAAAATAGATTCGGATCTTGTGAGAAGAAATTGAACGGCTTGGCAGGTAAGGCATGATTTTCGAAATTCAATGATTCAGATTAATTCAATTTTATTAGAAAAATAAGATGAATTAGTTCTATGGGAATTTTCATAGCGATATTTAATTTTCAGAAAAGACATTCGGAAATAATGCGTCCTTTTGAAAATTCTTTAGCTAAAATTATTGTTTTTTATTTTGAAATTTTTTATGACTTCTGAACACTAAGTGTTTTGAACCAGATCCTAAGTTATTATCAACAAGTATTTAAATATAATTTAAAAAATGTAGTGTAAAATAAATTCATGTGCCTGTAAAAAACTAAATGTAGGAAGAAAAAAGGAATTTAATATCTTTGCAATTGCAGAAAGTTACAAATAAATCATCTAAAATCAAGTAATATAAATTATGTAAGATTGACAAACTACACAAAAACTAGCAGATATATTGAATGCGAATATAAAGTTAATAAACAAAAAGGTCCAACATATTTGATTATAGCTTTAACTTTTCCAGTTCCTTTTCTAGTAAATTCGTTTCATATGAGAAACAATTAGTCTGCTTGTTTAAACTCGTTTCTTTGTTTCCTTTCGCAAATTGTAACTCTTTCATTTTTGCCTTCCTAACTTACTGTTAGATTCAAGGCCTGATAGGGAGTGATCTCAATAAGGGCAGAGTCCTGATTTTGGGCAGTAGATTTTCACTGACTTCTGAATCCTTTACCAAGAAATAAAAATACATGTAAAGCTAAAGAATTTATAGATAATAATAATAATAATAATAATAATAGATCTTCAACTGTTTACTTATGGCAGGATACCTGAATGGATTAGTAGGAATTAATAGTAATTCAATTAACAAAACATATATACACAAGTGGGTGACCTTTGTGCTAAAATATAAACTAAGGCAAACAACGTTAAAGAGCACAAAAATATTTATAAAATACAGGCAGCTGTTTCGGATGCTCAAAGGGCAACCTTCATCAGTGCAACAGAAAGAAATGAGAGAAAACAGCGTTATATTTACCCTGTCTGTATTTACAGCTGTCGGTATTTTATAAATATTTTTGTGCTCTTTAACGTCGTTTGCCTTAGTTTGTAACAAAACATATATTGTTTCAGTCCTGATAAGAGACAAAACTCAAAAGATAAAAGTCGACGTCGATCTCGAATAAGCTTAAAATATAAAATATATTAGTAAAAAAAATAACAAACATTATTTTAAAGAAAAGCATTAAGTGAAATTTAATTTCAGTTAGTTATGATTAATTTCATTTCAATGGACAAAAAAAAGCATAAACTCTTATAAGTAATTGCATTTTTTAGAATTTTCTTAAAAAAAATGTAATTAGATATAAGAAAAGGAATGAAATAATAATATTTTATATTAATTAAAAATGCTCAAGTGCCTTATCGGTAATAGTTAGTTCCTGCTCATTTAATGCTCTTCTTGTGGATAATTAGGGAAGGATAGCTAAAAATTAAGTAATATCTTTTATTCAAATGAAATCAAAAATTCGAATTAAAAATGCCATACACAGAATAGTTAACTCAGAATATCCTTTCTCTGTTCTTTTTCTCGCTGTGTCGTATTAATTTAGAATTATGTAAGGTTGAAGAACATGTGAAATTAATGTTCGAAGTAATTTGCATGAAAGCAAAACAAAATGTTTCATTTTGTTATGCTTTCATGCAAAATTAAACCTTTAGGCGTGAACAGTGGTCGCAAGTAGCGCTCTGGAAGTAGTGAAACTACTGTAATAGCTAACTTTTTTCGCAGTTTGTAGTGTATTCTGCTACCTTTTTAAAAGAGTAGTATATTGAGTAGAGCTATACAAAAAACCTGTAGTTTATAGCGATTCCTGGTAACTACTTTTAACGTTAGTTAAAGAGAAACACGGTTCTAAAGCAACTAATTTTTCGAATTTGATGGGTATAAATCTGCGCTGGTCAGTCAATGATGCAATGACAATGACCCTGTGGCTGCAGCTAAGCTTTAACAGAAATTACATATCTAAAACCACCTAAAACTATTATTTAAACTAGCCATTACGAAAAATAGAAAATTAATCGCTTTGATCACACTTTCATGTGCGAATGTACACTCGTTAAACATTGATGTTATTTTAAAGAAACGGAACGTATTCTCGATGTACTTAATTTCTTAGAGGAAATAAAACAGCATTAAACAATAAAAAAAAACTGATAATTTCGTATTTGATATTTTCGCACTTGTTAAATTAAATATTCGCTGTCGGAAAAGGCATAAAAAAGTTGAAGGTTAGATAAACAAATTCGAAAAAAAAAATGTTTAAGAATAACAAACTCGCTCTTTGTAAACATGAATAAATATTTCTTAATTGTTTCCTTATATTTAATGCAAGCCAACTTCTTATTCAAAACTATTTTGAGCATAGGTGTAAATTAAGTTCTCTAGAAAAGTTCGCCTTCTTTAAAATAGTGAAGAAGTTATTACAACTCCAATGTAGTTTGCAGTCGCAACATTTAAAGCAAAGTAGTTGTAGTTATTTACATTTATATTTGCATTGTAATATATTTGCATTTGTTATAAGCATTTGTAGAAAACTATAAGACTAATGTAGTTTTTCCAACCACTGGTTAAGACATTTCTGGTTTAAAAAAACAACAACATAATTCCAAAAATAAAATCAAAACATGAGATATTTAAACCCTTTATTTGGCAATTTTTCTGTTCATAAGGTACCAGAAGTTATGGTTTGTAAGATTATAGTTCATATTACCACACAATTAGTAGCAAAAAGTAAAACTGAAATGTAAATTTAATCAAATAAATGGTTTTTAGGCCAGGCTTTAAGGAATCATGATAAAATTACTAAATTTTAACACACGTTATAACACCATATTTTATTGTCAAGTATATAAAAATCATTACTAAATCTTGTTGTTCCCATAGAACCAGAAACATGGTAAATTTGACCATGTTCTGAGTAGCTTTAGCGATTTATTTCTCAATTCAGAGAAAGGGTTTATAGCAGAAGTCCCCAACCTTTTTGTACCTAAGAATAAATACTGGAATATCGGTCGAATGGCGGGCACCACTTATTTTTTCAAGATAAATTTGTAGTTGGTAGACATAGGTAATAATACACACTGCATATAATGCACACAAAAGATTAATTTTAAAAATTAATTCAATATATGAGTATAATTAGTATTAATATTCTTGTGTAAAATAAATGATTACTAAATTGCTTGCAAAACATACGAAGTATATACTCAGTATAGAAGTCAGCTATATAGCTGGCGATTTCTATTTTGGTTGTGTTTATCATTGAAAAAGAAAAAAAAATTACATAGCATTTTATGGGAAAATGGAAAACTGAAATATTTTATCGTTGGGCACAAGCAGCGGGCGCATCAAGACCGATCGACGGGTGCCATGGTGCCAGCGGGCATATGGTTGGGGACCCCTGGTTTATAGCAATTTGCACAAATATACGGAAGAAAACATTTTTTATTGAAGAAATTGCATGCATACGGAAGTGCCGTTTGTGTTTGTGTAATAAAATGTTTGTGTTTTATAACAAAATTTCTTCCGACCAATGGGTGTGAAATATCAATCTGACGTAATTTTATATTTCAGTTCATGTCCCGATTCCGGTGGTGGAGAAAGTGATGAATGATAAACCAGAAGAGATGCAGTCTTTCATTCAGGCAGAAAGACTGACAACTGTATAAAGCATGAAATGTTCCTTACTATCTGTGATATGCGGCGATTATTATTATCTTTTTGTACAGGCTGCGATTTGCGAAATGGACTTCAGAATATGCATTTTCTTTGAGAAGTTTTAACTGTGAATATATTGAAGTCAAAAAAACGGATGATTCTTTGATACATGAATCATCACTACTTGTGTTTGTGATCTATTTTCATCTATTTTTATATATTTCCTACAATTGAACTTTATGCAAGGTTTTGACTACTTCATTGTGAAACTGAGCTACCAACTCTAATTTCATGTTTTTAATTTTTATTCTGCTGTACTTTTTGCAATTTACTTGGAACTTTATATATTGTATTTATGATTCAATCTGTTGAAAGATACTATTAAAAACCAAATCATTATGTTTTTGTCTATTTTTTTCTTATTAACTACTATCTGAATACCCGTTCTTCGTACCGGATGAAATAAGAATTAAATGATCAATAAATTAATATTAATCTTCACTACGAAATCATAACTGAAAGACATATACTGACCATGTCGACACAATTACCTAAGCTAAAACAATTAATATTTTAATTTTATTTTAATTGTTTGTTGCCATTCCCGTTGGCTTTTTATCATCAGCTTGCGTTTGTTTTTAGAAGTTCATCCCTAAAGAAACATGTTTTTAGAAGTTCATCCCTTCAAAATAAGGAATTTGGGATATATATATACAGTGAATGACGAAATCGTTGGTTATTGAACTCCACCGGTGAATATTGACAGTCGCTTTGGTAAATGTCCAAAATATATACAAGGTCTAGTTAAGTGCCGCTGTCTGGTATACATTTGCCCGGTATGCCCTACATCAATGTTAATTTAAGGTTCAGTGGCCCTGCCCGGTAATACGAACACTGATGTTTCTCCTAATTTATCCTCAGCAGATATTTATGCGCAGTTCATAGAATTAACTTGCAAAGTTTTCACACATTTCCGGAACATTCCATTGATATTGTTGAACGATAATTAAAAAATTGTTAACTGAAACTTTTTTCTTCTTTCTTATATGTGAAATAAAATTTACAATTTTAACAAAATATTACATTTTTTAAAATTAAATTTTAATAGATTTTATTTCAAATATTAATTTTTTTAATAAATATTATTTTTTATTTGAATAGTATATTTCATTATTTATTTATAAAATTAAATTTACAAAAAAAACAGCAAATGAGCGTATTCTAAAAGACCAGGGCTACGTTCTTTTTATCAAATTGAATTCGCAACACAGGTGACAATCTTTTAATTTATTTAAGAAATTATTCTAATAGCTTTAAAAGCTTATATTTTAATGAATTTTGTTTTCTTTGAGATGCTGCGTTCTAAAGTAACATTAAAAAGCATATTAAAAATTTTTTTTAAAAGTTTATGCTCAATTACGTACAAGATGGGGATAATTGCTTAATGTGTAATGGGGCAAAAAATACGAACCAAATCGGACGAATAGCCAGGTGGCCGAGCGGTCAGCGTGCCCGACTGTGAAGCCAATGGTTGCGTGTTCGAATCCCGCTCAGGGCATGGATATTTTCTCTGTGTCTCTCTGTTGTGTGAATGTGGGCCACCCTATAAATGGGTATCTGTGGTAGTATGACTTCACAGGTGCCCACTGGGTAACGTTAAATGAGCAAACTTTGGGCATCTGAAGAACGAATGCTCAGTGCTAGCCATAGAAGAAGAAAAAGTTCATGAGAAGTCGAATTTTAAGTGTCTTATTTAAAATTCAATTTTTCAGGAACTATTTAGCCAATTTTGTACTTTGCCATGTAAAGTTACATTTTTAGAAACGATGTAAAAAATTGTATACCTTACAATTCAAACTTTTTTTGTCCTATCTTAAATAAAATAATAAATATTTACTAAAGTTTATTTTTTGCATGGAATTATCTTTGGCTGGTTTAGTTTTATATATGTGCATAATTTTTTTCAATTAGCTTAAAAAATTTTCCAGATGTAGGGAAATACGCAAAAGGAAAAATTAACATTAAGGGGTTCAAATTTGGGACGACATTTCTCAGATTGCGGCTACCCCCTATATTTTGGGGGTCAGAAATCAAAATCCGTGTAAGAAAAAACGAATGTTTATTCAAAGAAAGTACGAATTTGTCTCTGATTTCGTAATGTAAAATATTGTTTGCACTTATTAATTAGCATATTTGAAGTCATGCCTCACCACATAGCCATTACGATTGAGTCCTAGAACGTGAAGATCCGATCGAAAGTTATTAATAATGGTGCGTTTTTTTTTCTTTTTGCGCACTGTACACTTATGAAACATGAATTAATATTCAATGAAAGAGAGCATATTTTGTTTGTCCTTTATATTTCAGAGGAAATAAGAGATCATTAAACACTTAACAAAATTTAAAGCATTTGATAATATCCTCGCATTTCTATTTACTTTGCGCATTGTACAATTTAGAATTACTAATATTCAGCTCCGTAGCCTTGTAAATTTAAACCTAATCCAGAAGACAAGGGAATTCCTGGATCAAGTATTGGGTCAGAAATTTGCCTTCGTGGAAGGCTTTTTGATGAAACTAGACCGCAATTTCGAAACATGGAGAGGTAAACCACGGAAATTTCCCACGGTTAGCCTGACGGCAAAGGGACTCTATCCCATAATCTGTCTACCAATGAGGTTATTATACGTCAACACTGTGGTCGGTGCGGAATTCGTATTTTGTTTCTTATTTCCTTTTACTTATTATTTTGTTTCTCAGTCTTTATTGGTTAAACCACTTTGCACGTTTGTCTCTTCACTTTTCTCAATCATCATCTGCTGTTTAGAAACTGAGGAAGGTTCTTGCTCATGGAACTGAAACTATAGTATGCCCATTTCTGTACTTTCATTTGTGCTTTATTCACATTTCTTTTTGCTTTGCCTATTATACATAACACAAAGTATAACCCATACTTTTTGAATGTTAAGTTTCTTTGGTTTTGAGAGAATAAGTTGTTCATTACGGTAGTTGAAACTAGCTTTCTTCCATGAAAACGTGCCTATCCACTTAAGGGTCATATAAAAAATTAATTTCAAACGCTTACACCTCGAAACTACAGTACAGAACCCGTTATCCGGAAATCAGAAAACCGGAAAACCAAAAAAACCGGAACGAAATTCAATAAATTTTCCCGCCATTTTTTTAAAAAAATGTTTTTTTCCTCATAAGATTTTAGGATTTTTCTTACTTTTTTGAAAGATGTTCACCTTACCATCATTTTGGAAATAATCATTAGTGTATTACTACAGTTTTTTCTTCTTTTTAAGATTATTTCCAAAAATTTTTTTATCTTTTAGTTGGGTTTAAATAAACGGCTTTTTGTAGCGATTTAGAAAACCGGAAAAACCAGTTATCCGAAATAGCGATGGTCCCGATCGTTCCGGATAATCGGTTCCCTACTGTACCTTTTTTTTTTTCTTTTAGGAGCAACAGGCGTAGTTTCTGTTTGAAGTTAGTCACTCAGTTTAATAACGACTTGAATCGAGAATTTTAAGCGTTTCGGTCAAATCTCGTGCTTCATAATGGAAATGTTAATACACGATAAGGCAGTTTGTTAAATATTTTTTCGACCTTGTACCACAAAACTTGTAAATTTAAACAAAATTGTTTTCTGCGGAAGTAATTTTGTAAATGAGTTCCCTTTGGTAATGAGTTCGATTTTTTGTAATGGAAGTAAAATATCGTGTTTCTCAGTGAAAATATGAAGACACGTTCATCGTTAGTAAATGAAAAATAAGACATTAAATTAACAAAAAGTAGATACAAATTAAAAAAATTGGGGGAAAAAATACTGTGGGGGTTATCATATATATGCTTAAAAATAATAATTATTGTGGGAAGTTTACAATTGTTAGGATAATACAAAAATTATTTAGAGCAATAATGAAACTGAAGTTTATTTAATTAGCAAGAACTATTCCTAAAAAATCATTCATAACCACATTGTTTATTTTATTTTTTATTAAGGCAAACCACAATACAAAAAGCATATAAATATGTATAGTATATGCTGATTAATACATATACAATAATCACAGACGATAGCAATAAAATATATATATATACATTAGAGTAAAAAACAAAGATTAAATAATTTTGTTTTAAATATAGTATAACAGAAAGTATGACAAACAAAATAGCATTAAATGCTAACAATACTATATCATTGTTCTCTATAAATTACATTTTAATTATCTTCAGGCAGTGAGGAGAAAAAATTTAACACCCATAAAAGGAAACATGACAGAAGAAATTATTCTAACTTCAACTACATGTTGATGAAGAAAAAAATTGTCAAAAAATACATCAACTTCCAGATGATATGGAGTTAGTATGAGAGATATGTGTAAAAAGAAGTTTTGAGATATTTTATCATATAACGCACACATATCTCTGTCTTTCAGTTCCTACAGATCTCTTGCCATACCTCAAATTCATGCCCATGAACACCTCGTTTATCTAATAACAGTCACTGTTATAGCGAAAGCTTACTCAAGATTAATCATACATATATATATGGGTGTGTGTGATGGTATTGGGCGAAATTAATGATCAACACCGGCCATTGGGAGACTAAATATAACAATCGGAGATTTAAAAAATTGTACGCAAGTAACTTATTTTTTCGTCAAAAATGCCCCTCATTTGTATTTTATTATAATTTTTTTTATAAATAGGAAACTATTTCGAATATTTTATAATATTTTGACCGCTACTGTATTTCACGATTGTTTCTTAAATCTTTTTTTCATTTTATATCATACTGCGAGAAATTTTTAAAACTAAACACCTTACATTTTTTTAAATCACCAGTTTTTTAACCTGTTGACGCAGAATTTTTATTAGATATATTTTTCATACTCTTTTCATTGTTTTGCATTAATTTAAATCAAAATAATTGAAACCTTTATATTTAGCGTTTTAATAATTTATGGTTATGAAATGCAAATGAAACATGTATTTAAGGTAAAATCTTCCAAATGCGGTTCACTTTCAAACAATAATTTTTAAAATTTCCACTCATTTGCAGTTATTTATATCTAAGAGAAACAGTTATTTATTGCCGAAATTTCTTTAATGTACAAAATCAATTATTGATAAATTTTTGAACATGAATGAAAAAAAAAGTCTAACTACTTTTTTTGAATTTTTATATTTTAGGGCAAATATGATATCCCATCTGCGTCAAAGGGTAAATTGCTAAATATTTTTGAAAATATGGCCACTGATAAAAATGCTACGACGGTTCACTTAACAGTACTGAAATTTGCTAATTATGCCTGAATGCAACATCAATGCCAAATGTTTTTTAAACAAGTACTTTATGTGTGACATTACAATGGTTTGATAAAAGCAAATTTCTGTTAGACTTGCTAGATAAAATCATTTAGAGCAAATTATGTAAATTTTTGCAAAATATTAACATTGATATATACCCTTCCTAAAAATATTATGAAAAGTCTATTTCTACCCTTAAACCACAAAACCACATATACAATAAAAATTTACTGAAAAGTCTTTTATAAATCAAGGTTCCCATTCAATTTCAGGGAGAAAAAATTGACTGACTTTCCCGGGTTTATCAGGAAAATTTCAATGAAAATCCAGACCATATTTTATCTAAACCATGCAATTTTTCCTCTGAAAATTTTGATTTTTTTTGAAATGTCAAATTTATCATAGATTTTGTGAGAAAAGAATGGAAGCATGGAAATTTCACTAAAATATGAAATTTTTAAAACAAATAGTTCTAATAAATGTTAGAATTATTTAAATCAAATCTCACTAACTGATTACTGTTACTGACAATTCTAAGTCTGGTCATTTTTCCTTTTCCATATAGGAATTTTCCAGTTTTTTGTAAAAAAATTTCAATTTTTCTGATTTTTAGAGTCAAAATAAAATTCCCTGACAATTCCAGGTCTTCCCTGTTCAATAAACACATGGGAGCACTGATAAATATACATTTGTATTAACAAAAATCACTATTATAGTAGCTAATTATTGAAAGAAAGGTCCCATAAAACATTGAGTGTAAAAATATTTTTTAAGTATGTACAGTAGCTATGAATAACAAAAAATTCATGCAGGATTTGTAAGAAAAATAGATTCTTTTAAACAATTCTTTTTTTAAAAAAAAAGGAACTAAAAGTTCTTTAATTTAAAAAATAAATGATTTAATCAAGAAATTTTTGTAAACACGGAACTTTTCCTCAAAAATTCACAGTTTCAGAAAATAATTCATATTACACGCCAGCGCGTCCCATCTTCTTTGGTATGCTCTTATTCCATACATAATGTGGGCTAAATAAACTTTTTTTATAGCAATAGGCATTTTTTTCTTAAAAAATAAAATTTCTTAAAACATTGTAGTGAATTTTAAATGAATATAATAAAAAATATAATAATAAAAAACAAAAACATTTTGTTCTATTTTAAGAGAACAATTTTTCAATTACAATTCAATTTATCTTTCTTCATCTTTTTTAATGGTAACTGATCCTGCACGAATTTATTCGAAATTCATAAACATTTATATTTCATCACACTAAATCTTAAGAAACTAAATCTAAAATTGTAAACAAATTATTGGCGTCTTCATTTACTTATTTAAATGTTAATATACTAATAGCCAAAATTTAGCCCATAAAAAAATGACTAAAGTTAAAACATATCACAAGTTAATGTACAAAAGGAAAAATCCTGTACAATTCACTATTTATGTATATGAAAAATAGTTTTTTTTTTTTTTTTTGGACTTCAATATAACAATGCTTATTGTTAATTTTAAAATTACTAAAATATCACTTATCAAATACATTAAAAATATTATAAACAGGGATAAGTTGGAGATTCCATTATCGAAAAAAAAAATTCAAGATATTCAATAATTAGAAAATCGTTAATCAGATAATTAACCAATTCATCATTGCACCCTCTTTCAGAAAATTAACTAAAAGTATTCCCTCCGCCAAAGAACATACAACAGAGCCTCAATTATTCATAGAATTCAGTGATAAGGATAAAAATAGTGCATACATATTTCATAAAAGTGTTCTGTTAAAAAAAAATTTAAAAAAAAAAAAATAAATATCTGAAATGCATTTCTGCTCTACTGCACTAATATCTTGAACATTAGTTCATTAAGTACACTTATTGACAACGCTCTATCGGTAAAATGTAATAAGCAACAAGTTAGAACTGCCAGGTAAGGCATCATCATTTTTTTTTAAAAAATCGATTTATTATACTTAAATCGAATTTTTTTATTATTTAAATCAGAAATTTTTCATTTTACATTTTCCAATCAAAGCTCAAATATAATACATAATTCAAATAATATGATAATAAATTCTGAATATAATTCAAAAATAATATTATAGTTTGAAATTTAATATTTCAAGTAAAATGGTTATAAGATTATAAACTAACCACAGAATAAATAAAATCCAAGTATATTTATTTAAATTTTACGCCTTTATAAATTATACTTAAATTACATGCTAACTACATGAGTAACATGATTATTTACAGAAGTTAAGGTTTAAATTTAATGCCACTAATAATAAAATAATGCCACATTTATCCACATTGCATTTTTTAATTATTTGTTGCTAAAATTTGATCATCAAATCATAATTTACACCACTTTTATTATCACTCCAGATAAAAACATAAGGAATGTATTCATAAACTATATTGTATAAAAATATTTTTAAACTAAACTTAATACTTCAAAAAAAAAAAAAAAAAATTAACTNAAAAAAAAAAAAAATCAGTAAATTTAAATCCATAATTTTTGCATTTTGAATCATGATCTAAATAAAGTGATATAATTCATGCCACCCTTAAAGAAAAGTGCAAATGTTCAAGTAAAGTAAGGTTAGCAAAACATATTGCAAATTTTTTTAGCTGTTTATATAAAAATTGCGTGAATCTGAAATAACATATTTCATTGAAACAAATTATTGAAAAATATGTACATATGCATGTAAATGAGGATAATTAAAAAGCACCATTTGAACTGTATTGGCAACTATTTTAAATTAATTACAATCAAGTTTTTTTGATATGAGCACAAAAAAGAGGAATAATGGCTACATTAAGTATATTTGGCATCATATTTCCACATGAGATAGATGAAAAATGAAAAATTATATGCCAGAGGGAGGGAACCTGTGGCCTTTAGGCTATAAGCAGCTTCAAGCTCTTACATTAATTAATATTTAATTATATGGATGGCAACAATTTGAAAATTAATAGAATTAATATGACTTAGAATAACATAACATGAATTAGAATGCTGCAGTGTTGCAGTTTTTCATGGTTTGAAATTATTGCCATTATGTTTTCACACGTTATTGTTTTTTTATTCAGAAAGTTATTATGAGTTTTCCTTCTTCAAAGAAGTTATTATCTATAATATCTACACATTTTACTTCGTTTCTGAGAAGGATTCAAAAAATATATATTAAGGGCAGTTATTAAGAAACACCCTTACTAACGGAATTTATACTCCAGACATAACACTTAAAATTATTCATATTTGAGTACATAAATTATGAAGGATTTAAAATTGAAAGGAAAACACAGCACTGATACAATGTCAATACAAAATTCCAGACAACAAATAAGTTAATATTTGACTAGTTGAATCATGGAGTTTACAAAATATATTTTAGTAAGATATTCTTGATGTATATATTAATTGACTAGCAAACCACTGATTGAAAGAAAATTTATTTAAAAAAAATCTTATTGAAAAATGGACATTGAAACAAATGAATTAAGATTGAAATACTAATTTTAGAGATAGATCATCAGACATTGGGCAATAAAGCAATAGATTAAATAAAATCATCCCCTTATTTTTTATAATGCCGAATTTTGCATTCAATTGTTGTAAAAGCAGACTACTCAAAACTAGCTGAAAAACAAATTCTCAATCACTTATAATAATCAGATATCAAAAGATAATTGTATGTGAAAAATAATTAATAGTTCGATATAAATAGTAGAGCAATATCATATCAATATTTCTAAAATATTTTAAATATATTATTATGAGGAAATATCAAAGGCCAATAATGAAAGTAACTTTTTTTGTGTAATATTCAGTTTATTTCATTGTTAACAAAAATAGGGAAATTAATAGTGTAATGAAATATGACTTAGTAAAGGTTCTGTTAAGTCACATACAAAATAATACAACACTAAGAAAAAAGAACTGTAAAATTGAGCCATGTTTTCAAGTAAATGTTTTGGTATTCAAATTTTGGAAAAAACAGCCTAGTTTTTGGTAATCAAATTTCAAAATTATCACAAAGAATAATTTAATAAAATAATTTTCCATTGAATAAAAAGAACTACTAATCATTGCACAGTTGCAATACAAATATTTTTACCAAAAGTAATGAGTAAAAATAATTTCTTTTAATGAATTTTCAAATTTCATGGTTCTAATAGAACTCATACAATCATAAATGAAAAAAAAAGAGGTAAAAATATATAGAGAGAAAAAAATTTCTTCCCAAATTCTTTCATTCATTTATAGATTATCTGTTAGTAATGATTCAACCCAAATATCATCTAAAAATTAATTTGATAATGAATGTGGAATATAAAATTTTTTGTAGAAAACATTTTCAACTAAGTTGCTGTCAAATTTTGTTCATGTAAAGCAAAATATAATAAATAAAAACAGTGCTTTCATACAATAAATAAAAACATTGTTCTAAAATAGTAGAAAAATAAGGTAGCTCACAAACATTGCATTGTGCGCTACAATAACAAGGTACCAAGTTCAAAAGAGAAAATCTTTCATCTTTAACAAAAATTAAACTAATTTTTGTACTTATAGATTAGTGCATTTATAGAAACGAGTCATTGAAAATAGAAATACACAAAAATACTTTGAAAAAAATTTTTGAGCATTTTATGGTAAATGGGCTCCTTTTAATCTGAACTAATACTTTTGCAATGATAAATATATTAATTTTTAAAAATAGGAAACAATTAAGTATATTTTATAGCAATCTATTAATAAGAGAAACAATTATAAAATAGCATTCTAACACATTATTTATATTACAAAAAATGTATGAAATTAAGTCTTAGATTTAAGTCTAATTTTCCCTGAGAAACATAGTACAGATAAAAATTTACAAATGATTTATGGTTTAAATAAACATACATTAGTACTTCAAGTGTTTTAGACCAATGTTTCCTGATTCGTAGTAATTAAAATACTTTGCTCCAGATTCATAGTAATTAAAATACTTTGCTATCAACAAAAATGATTTATTATGATTTGATAAATTAAATTTTTATTAGAATAAATGAGTTTATTTTCTTTTATAGAAAAAATTGCATGTAGAATCTGTTGGTTTTGCTATAAAAACTGATGGGAAACATTGGTTTAAACATTATGACAACATTGATAAAGAAAAGAAGAAATTAGAATATAAATCAACAGATTTTCACTGAATAAAAGATGTAAAATAATTCCAAGAGCTTTAAAAAAAACTAATCTTTATATTAAAAAAATTTAATTTTTTACTATACAACTGCTTCACATTTTAAGTACTGAAACGCCCATAATAAAATATGGAAATTAAATTGAAAACAATTCGCATGAAGTAGTTATACTACATAAAAACAATTAAAATAAATAGCCAAATATAAAAACAATAGTTTATTAGTATTTTATACTTAGTTTCAACTACAAGTGCTATTTTAAAATGCGGGTGAATGTTACACATTTTTGTGAAAAACAGGTGCAATAACTTTGTAAAATTGTAGTATTTTCATACATTTTGTGAAAAAAAAAACACAAAATATCTTATTAGAATATAAATAGCACAAAAACAATCACCGGAGAGAATACCAGAAAAGATTAAAGATAATAATAATAATAATAGGTTGATAAAAACATTCCTCAAATTGTAACATGTTTCACATTATAATAACAGTACAAAGATAAAAAATACTCAATATTTGGTGCAAAATATAATACTGTGTAATTCATCTTAGATGCACAGTTAAAATTGAGCATAAAAAGTTAGTAATACATAAATCTGTAATTCATTTTTAAGTATTCTTCACACAAAATTTGACATAAATCAAAACTAAGAACAAATTGTGACACATAACATATTAAGTACTTAACATAAAAACATAACTCATAAATTAGAATATATAATACTATTATTTTAAACTGATTTAAAAAAAATAAATTTCGGGGGCTGACCAAATAAAAATTTTATTATTATGTGGTTAATAATAAAACGATTAATTATACTTTTGAACGGGATAAAAGGATGTAGCAAAAATATTCCATAAAATAGCAAAAAGCATAAGAAGAACGAAGACTGCAAATAAAACCCAACCTAATATTTTTTCCCACTTGTGTACTCTCAGATTTCTTAAACAGACAAGTCCAATCATTAATCCAGCAAGAGCTCCAGCAAAATGGGCAGCATAACTTGTTCTGTTCTTCTCATTCTCTACATACCTTGAGTAAAGGGCAACACCAATGTCAGTTCCACCAAAAATCAGTAATCCAATAAGCCGAATCCAGCCAAAGGTCATTTCTTTGAAATTCTGAAATGAACAAAACAAATGGTAATTTTTTTTATCATTGAAACATTTCATTCATCCATGGATCAAATATACAGATCAAAGTCAGTAAACAATAAACGTAATTTTTTTTTTTGCTGTCAATTGTAACTCGAATTAAATTATGGTAATCACAACATAAAATGCTTAAATATTTAATTTCTTAAAATAAAAATTTAAAAAAAGCTTAAGTAATACGAAATTACAAGAGTAATTCTTTGCGATGAAATCAAATTTCCATAAAAACAACATTTAAAATCACAAATGGTAAAATTTTATTAAAACTCTAGATGCGTTTTGGTGTTACAATGGTACACCTCCATGGGTAGGATAAAATACAGGAATGGTAAAAACGGAGATGATTAAAATCTGATCGAGGTTATGTCATTTTTAAGAGATAAATATATAGTTAAATGAGAAAAAAGCTTAAGATTAATGATTTGCAAATATAAGGTCATTAACAATAGAGTTTTTGATAATGTAATGATTTTACTGCTTTATCATATATGCCTAATAGTAGGAAATAAATTTTTTAAAAAGTATTTTAGCTCTTTTAAGCGCATATTTATCTCTTTGGAAAAAACGTAACCCCAGTCAGATATTAATCATCCTTGTTATCACCAATCATGTCACTACAAGTAACATTTTCTCAATTAAAAACTGAATGATTTGGATTCTACAAAATTAGTAATATTTTTTTGCTGTATTTCAATAAATTATATAGATAGCAAAGAAATTTAATCTACTTTAAAATTACTTTAAGATTTTGTATGAATTTTAAACAATTATATTTTAGTTTTGAAAATATATATAAGTAAATAAACACAAACAATGTTTATTAAAAATATTGTGATGATCAGGGCTCTAAGAATTTGAAAAATATTAGCAGCCAACAAAAATTTCAAGTAACTAGCAAAAAATTAACAGTTTTGCCTTTTTCAGTTTTTTTTTTTTTTTTTTTTCCTTTTCAAATTTAAAGTTTTGTTGAATACATCTATGCGTAAAAATTAAACAGTTAGTATGACATAATTTATTTTAAAAATAAATATCAAAAGAATAAAAATCTATGTGAAATTTCACAGTATTATCTTTTTATATTTAAATATATATGTAATTTAGAATGTCTCATACAAGTCCTTCTATATTAAGTCATAGCTTAAAATAGATCTGAGCCTGGTGGCTGAGTGGTAGCGCTTTACGCTCCCGTGCCACAGGTCCTGGGCTCGATCCTCGGGTCGGGCAAGGTTCACTCAGTCTTTCATCTCTTCAGTAGGTTGATAAATGAGTACCAAGCATGCTTAGGAACTAAACACTGGGAGTTTTGCGTTTGGCTGACCACCTGGCCAGAACATCTGCTCCTGTGCTCCAGAGTCCAAGGTCAAGAAAAATGAGATGGGCACAGTAGGCCTCTATGAGCTGTCGCGCCACTGAGTTTAGTTTAGTTAAAATAGATTTAGAAAGTAGAAATCGTTTTTTCACAAAAAACTATAAAAAACCAAAATTTTAATTAAAAAATTATTTTCTGAAGTTAAGGGATAATAGTTCATTGAAATATACTTAGTAAGTAAATCACAAAAAATCCCTGTAGCCTGTATGGTGTTATATGTTAAAACAAATCAAGATGGATACATTTTCCCTTTGGGAGACATCCGATTACGTTAAATATTTTCTTGCAATCAATTCTCTTTCAGAATTTCTAAAAAATAGGAATGTACCAATTTTGCCTGCCTTTTTAATGATGCAACTGCTAGTAAAACTACAGCTCAAATGACCAAACCTCAAGACCCTGACTGGGGAAATCTCTTCCTTGAAGAATTTGCACTAAGATGTTGCATAAAAAATTAAAAGAAGCCAATTTGTATGTCATCTATGGAAATTACTTGTTTTCTTTACAAATAGGATCCCATAAATCTAGACATATATCATCTGAGAAATTGCAGTTACGTGTAATAACGTTCATCAGAACGTGGAGCCAAGTCTGTAGGAAACAAACTTTTGGAGGAAAAATCAGAAATCATGAACTTTCCACAAGAGTTTGTAATAAATCAAAAATTTTTACATTTTGATTAATATAAAGTGCTATAAATATGAAGTGTTATTTTCAAAACTATTTTAACTATTCAGATATAAATTTTGAAAAATTTCATCAAAAATAAAGTTACTTACAATGATAACATTAGCTAAATGAGCAGATATTAAAGCATAGACACCACCAGATGCACCAGCTAAATAAGTCCCAGGATCAACAAGAGAACTTCCTAAAGATCCTAACACAAATAAAATTTTGATTAAAACACACACAGACTATTTTAAATAGCAAAAAAAGTGATATTAATTTTTACTTTAACTCTCTACAGTAAAAAAAAGTTTGACATTTGTATAAATATTCACTTTTTTTCATACACTTTTTTTAAAAATTTTTTTAATCAAAGTTAGATCACAGTAAAATTAAAGCAACTTTACTGTACACTGTGAGTTAGACAAATTGTGAATTTTTTTAAAGCCACTTTTACTAAAATTGTAGTAAGTAATTTCTAAACTTAATGCAATGACTTCTAATATATAATAACTTTTAAAAAACGATGAAGCTCCAAAAGATTCGTAACATAATATACATGGAAAATAAATAAAAGGTACATAATTACGAAATAAAAAATAGGCAAATTTTGAAGGGAAAAAATTATAAACTTCCTTGTAGTAACAAATTTTTGAAATATAAAGAAAAATAATTTACACCTAGAAACACTTAACAAATAAAAAAGATGATGATTAACTTCTCCAGGTTCAGTGTGTGCAAAACAATGAATTATATGCAATGAACTACATAAGTATTCAGTATTTTTAAATTAGTCTTTAACAGGGTGCGTAGCCAAATCTTTGAATCAAAAATAAGCACTTTTTAAAAACTTTTCAAGCACTTTACAAAAGTTTTCAATCACTCAAAAAATTCATATTTAATCAATGATATTATTGAAAAACAAAAACTTTTTATAAACAGTTTTAGGGTTAAAAAAAAACCAAAAAGAAACAGGCGTAAATCGAAACAATCAGTACTTTCCCACATCACCGAGTGAATTCAACTTGACCCTGAACTCAGAACAAAAGTACCCTTACCCCCTACGTCAAAAAAAGTGTTAGAAGTAAAATAAAATAAACAAGAACAAAATTAAAATAAATTAAAAAGAAAAACATTTCATAAGGATCTGATACTCTCTATCCGAATTGGAGCACTCAGGATTCGGTTTCAAGTGTGCGCGCATTCGCAAGTCATAACGTGGGTACGACATGAAGTCCGTCTCAATGATTACATAGCAAACTCCCCATTTTTTGTGAAATGCATGGGATCCACCAGGTATCACTGAAGGGAAGAAAAAAATTTGTTCGGAAAAAAAGCACTTTTTAAAAACGCCAGCTGAAAAAAGCACCTTTAAAAGCTTTTAAAAACGAAATCCACAAAAAAGCACTTTTAAGTACTTATCACAAACGCTACGCACCCTGTTTAAGGTAAATAATATGAATTAATTTACTTGTTTTATCTTTAAAAATGAAAAGATTCAATTCATTAAGACATAGTAAATTAACCTTATATTAGGCCAAAATAGAATGATTTTTTTTATTAATATTTGTAACATATTTCAAGTAATTTTCGAATTTGTTTTTATTATTACCTTATATATTAATTTTCATTAATATAAGGCATTAATAATAGTAGGAGTTAAATCATCTTTCAAAATAAGATATTTTTCATAGCTTCAAATTAAATGTGCAGTTTCGAAATTGACAGGTGCATTTCATATTCACGATACTTACTTCATTAAAGATATGAAAATTTATGGATCTGTAACTGTTTTAAAAGTAATTGTTGAAAAAAGAAAGACGCCCGGAGGCTGAGCGGTAGCGCTTTGCGCTGTCGTGCCACAGGCTCTTGGTTCGATCCTCGGGCCGGGCAAGGCTGACTCAGCCTTTCATCCCTTCAGTGGGTCGATAAATTAGTACCAAGCATACTTGGGAACTAAACACTGGGGGTTCCGCCTTCGGCTGACCACCTGACCGGAGCATCTGCTCCTGTACCCAAGAGCCCAAGGTCAAGAAAACTGAGATGGGCACAGTCGGCCTTGGCCCTTTATGGGCTGTCGTGCCGCTGAGTTTAGTTTTTTGAAAAAAGAAAGCATTTTAGTAATTAACACAAAAAAGGTTTTAAAAAAAAGGAATATTTCAAATATAAAATCTATGCAAACAGAACATAAGAAGAGATAAAATACAACACAAAGAAGTTGATTAATAAAATCAGGGTGGAGAGCCAAATCTTTCAACAAAAAATAAGCACCTTTTAAGTACTTTTTAAGCACTAAAAAATATTTTAAGCACCAAATACATTATAAAATGCAAAATAATTTTCAAAGACTAAAATAACTAGTTTCTGACGAAAAAAACTATTTTCTTGATTATATTAATCACCATAAAAAGGTTGAGAGATTTTTCGGTTCGATTTGAGAGAGTGGAAAATGAAGCCTGAATTTGAGAATATCTTGCAAAATGCAGCAGAGTTGTACATGAGAGTGCAAGAATCTTACCGAGCTCAGCTCAGTACATGCAGACCCGCAACTATTTCATCAAAGATGTAAAATGATTGGAGCTTTCATACACTAGGGACCAACTGTACGCCAAAATTCATTGTGTTTGAATGAATTATAAAAACGTCAAATAGAAGAACAATGTGAAAACCACGCTTTTGCATAATACGTGATGAAAATCGACATGGTAAAGAAAAAAAAATCTCATTTTAGAAAACTGAAAATTAAGCACTTTTTAAAAACACTCAATAAAAAAATCACCTTAAAGGGTTTTTAAAAAGCGAAAATCAAAAATAAGCACCTTTAAGCACTTTTTAAAAATGCTATGTACCATGCAAAACTAAATTTTTTAAGTAAATCAATAAGAAAAACTCCATTACCAGCAATCACTCCGCCAACGTACACTAGCATAACTCGCCATCCTTTGTGTACCATTTCAAGTGGAATACCCAAAATTAACTGTATCAGAAGATTAAAAAAGATGTGCACTCCACTGAAAATAAAAATACACAATATTTTAATCAAATAAAAAAATTAATAAACTAAATATGTTCAAATAAAAATAAATACTTATTTATAAACAATATCAATTAATGAATAGCAATCTTTAAGACAAACATTACAGTAACTATGATTGAAAATCTTTATAATAAATAGCATTATACATAAAATTCAGAATTGTTATCAGTTTTAATAACTTCAGCAAGCCATTTACAGCGAAATTTCAAACAAAATTCCTGTTTTGTGGTATTATAGAGTCTGCAAAAGAAAGAAAATAGAACACCCAGAATAACTTTTGATCTAATGATCCAATTTTAATGTACTAAGTCTTAATTTTAATGATTCAAAGGTCCACCGATAGCTAATTAATTAGTGTAGACAATATTTTATATTAGGAAATGAAACACAAAACAGAGCCTTTTCTGAATAAACATACCATTTCCTAATTATTTTGGGAGCCAGGATTTGGATCCCTGACCCTCAAACTGGCTGCAAACTGGGAAATATGGTCCCAGCACTTTGTTGATATTGTGGCTTAGAGCGGTTGAAAATTTGGGCATCTTATATTATTTTGCCTTTTAGCATATTTCGTCAACCTTTTAAGCAAATCCTACCTCAAAACCTTTCAAGCAAAACAAAAAATTTTTGCACACTATTATAAAACTTGCTGAATCAGAAAATTCAATGGAAAAAATAATTTTTAATAACTATTTATTATTTTTCAATATTTTATTTGTATTCCTGACAGTTCAAAGACAAATTTTGTGAGAAAATACACCAAATTGTTAATAGAGCGATGTAGATACTTTTTTTACTTAACTAAACCTATTTTACAATTTAATAAATAACTAAAAAGAAAAGCATAAAAGCTTCATTTAAAAAAATAAAAAAATTAGATAAAAAATATCCTTGATTACTCAAAACAATATTTTTAAAATGCTGAACATACTTGAATTTTTATTTGTTTTTTAATGTTCATCAAAGAAAAACAAAACAGGAAAACTATAAAATCTAATGATTGAAACTTTATATAAAAAAGAAAGAATAAGAGTTTTTTAAAATTCATTTTCATTCTTTTTTGATTAAAAATGATACTTTTACCTGCTTTTATGGTCAATTTTAAATAAGCTTTAGTAAATAAAGCTTTTGTTCTTCGAAAAAAAACTTTAAAAAGTACTATTTTTAAGTACTTTAAAAAGACCTGATTAAAGTCTAAAAATATTAAAAATAACAATTTATTTTCAGATGAAAGTTCATATCTAAAGAGCTGCTCTACAAAAACATATTTCCTTATGATTATTCAAATGAAAAATATTTGATTTCACTATAACAAATTAATTTTTCACAATTAACTCTGGTGTGAAATGAAAAGACAATGTATATCAACAGGGAATGGTTAGTTAACTTTTACACTTTACTCTGATAAAGAAGCAAAAAATGTATGTCATTCATACTTGCTAAAGTTATGAAACACTAAAATTTTTTAATGTCAGTTTGAAATGGTGCAATAGTTGAGAAACTTGTAGTACATGTCAATTTTTTATTTTGATCAATTAAATGACTCCCAGATGTATATGAAACAAAAAGAATCTTAAATGTTAAACTACTCTTCAAAATTTTAAAAAATTATAATACCCAGCATGTATTAGCATGTAAGTGAGGTATCGCCATGCTTCATATCTTCTGTAAGGATTATAGATTAGAGGACTTTCAATAGGTACAGGTCGTGATGCACTTAACTCTTGATACTGGACACAATAGTAAATAAAAACACCTATCTGAAAGGTAGATAATGATTAAACGATTTTTAAAAGTCACTCAGAAATAAGATTAATAAAGCAATAATAATTTAAAATGTCTAATTTTTTTTGAATTATTATTTGCTTCTTTGTCAATACAAAATATTGAATAGCAAGTTTCATTCATTTAGAAATAACTGACAGTATCATATAATAAGGATTTAGATTAGGATTTTCTATAGAAACAAAACCTAATACACTAAATTAAAATCCTAAAAATATGCTAAACACATACCAAGTTTTTGCAGAATTTGTCCTTATGCTAATATTTTATGTCTTACTAAATTTCAAAATAGTGCAGCTGAGATAGCTCTAAAATTGACAAAATCCACACATACAAAAAAAATTTTCAAATCTATGTTATACTTGTAGAGTAATTGTAAAAATAATACTATGTTTCTAGAGCAACTTGTTACTAACTAAACAACAATCACAAAAAAAAGAGTAGAATGACAAGTTCTAGGAAAGGCTTTGACCCACAAAGCACTGTCATGCTCATAGAAGAAGTTTGTAGGGCCATCATAATTAAAATAAAACAAACTTGAAATAATATGTATAGCCTAAAAATGGATTTTTTAATTATTAGGCAATTTAATCTTTCAATGAGATAAGGGAACTACAATTGATATTGCTCTGAAAATTATAATTAAAAACCTATTTTGTAACATAAATTAAAAATTTTATTCCTACAGTATCATGGTAAAAATGAGTACATTTTATGGATAATAATGGTAAAATTATTAAATGCAAATTATATGTGATTAAAAATAATGTTTAAAAGTAGTAACACTAAAATGATATAGGAAAAATTTATCAACAATAATACCTCTACTAAACTAATTAAGAGAAGAAATATAGGTGGAGGATAACAATTATATTCTTCGAAGTAGCGTCGAACAGTTATTGCTTGTTGAGATCTTGGTACAACAGTTAGGGCAGCAAATCGCACAAATCTTTGAAATCTTGGACGTGCTTCTCCTAATTCTCGAGCATATATCTACAATATTTATGCATATTATAAAACAAGTTAAATGCTATTCAAATGCAAAAAGAGTAAAAAACAATTAAACAAAATATCAGAATATGCAAACAAAATATCAGAATAAGCACTACATTTCACTTGGAAAATAATTTATTTAATTAATAAATAGGAACACTAATGTGGAATCCTGGTAGTGCAATTTACTGAGTCAATCTATCGCACAATCTTGATGAATTCAAATTGTCTGTGATCTCAGTGCAGTCACTAAAGTACAGGGTGTCTATAAAAGAACTCTGGGGTTTTAAAAATTCATATCTCACTAACTATAAAAGATAACAAAATTTAGTCGATTTCTCTGAAAAGAGTAGCTCAAAAAGTTTTACTCATACCAATTGGGAATGTTTGTATCAACTGTTGGCGGCGCTGCAGGGCGTTGACCTTGAAATGGATTTGGATTTTTTCTTTTGGATTCCGTTGGATTTTTTCTTCCGGGAGCATATCAAGAATCTTGTGTATGCAGAGAAAATTCATGATGTTCAACATCTGAGGGAACGAATAGTCAATTGTGTGACAACCATCCCCCCAGACATGCTCGCCAGGACATGGGAAGAGGTAGAATACCGTTTAGACGTCTGCCGTGCCACTAACGGGGCTCATACAGAACTTTACTAAGTGTTAAAAAAAACTTGAAAATGTAAGCTTTTCAGTCATGTATAAAACATGTATGTATGTTTTTTATTTCATTAAAATATTTTGCCTCAAAACCCCGGAGTTCTTTTATAGACGCCCTGTATTACTATAATAAATAGGCTTAGACAAACACACATAAAATAAAATTTCTATATGTAAGTATCCAGGAAAAGTTTTGGTGCTTGAAGAAATTACTATTTGTTGAAGAGGTTCAATGAATTAGCTATAAGTTAAAGAAGAATTAGATTAATGTATTTTCAGTTGTCCATATTTCATTTCAGTATGATGTGGGCAAGAGTCATGTAGATATTAATCAATAGGAACTGCTTTAATGAATAATTAAATTTGATAAATAACAAAAATATTTTATTTCAGAAATAAGGAATCATATGGAGCTCCAAAGTAAAAAAGATTTTATTCTTGGGCACATATAAATTAATAAATTTAGAAAATAGGTCGGACTGGCTATAGGGCTAAGCCTAAGAGGAGACCTCTGTCCACCAAGAAATCGAAAATGCAAGCGTCAATGTATAAGTTAAAATAGTTTTCGCCAAAAAAAGTTAAGGAATGCATGTATTGGCTACTAATCGATTAAATTTAATATCGCAAGAACCTTTTCCTCAGTATTATGCATACAAATGTGTTGGCAGAAAAGAAAGTGTGAGAAATAATAGCGGATATTATTGAAATTAAAACATTTGGCAGCCATATAACGGTTTTTGAATTCTATGCTATTCTATTAGGCAGATGTAGCAAGAATCTCTAAAAATAAATTTTATTCTGCACTCAATTCAAAGTTGTGGTATAAAAAGATTATATATAATATTAATGATTTTATTTAATCGAAAAATGATTTTAAAGATAATAATTTTGCTCTTAAATGTTACAAAACATGTTATGCATATTTCAGCATGACAGTAAGGATAATGAATATTATGCACACAAAAAAATTTTTTACTTATAATTTCTATTAGTTAGTTGCACAATAGTTTGAAGAAAATGGAATATCCCATTACAGCATTACATGCTAGTATACAATGCGAGTCTTATTCATCGTGATAAATGTTCATCAGAATTTTGTTCACAATTTATTAACTAAGTTTATGCATCTTATTTTCTTATATTTGAACAATAACTTTTTTGATATCCTATCATGCTGCATATCCAGTGCTTTCAAAAGCTTTTAACTTATACATTAAAGTCCTTTGAAAACACTCAATACGTATAGATAAGTTAGGATCAGATTTAGCACACATTTAAATGTTCATTTTAAGAAAAATCTAATAAAATATATTAAATCTATAACATTGCATTATTGATAAATTTATTAGTGTTTTATATTTTTTAAGAATACTTCCACGAACACTTTTTTTATACACATTTCATAAGAAAAAATTATAATCTCAGATTATCTGCATTTTTAGATTACTAGGTTTTATTGTAGGCCTTTGGTTAGAATTATACAATAAATACTTTTGATGTTTACTTATTGTTAATCATTTATGATTTTATTAACTAAAAATAAAATAAAAGACTCACCATTCTAAGAAACTCATCATAGCTTAGACGACCATCACTGTTGATATCAGCCCATTCTAAAACTTCATTAATAACTTCATCTGGAAAATCAGCTCTGAACTCATCACTTGATTTCAAAACAGTTTTAAAATACACTAGAGGAATGTACCCATCCTTATCTAAATCATACTAAAAAATAAAACTCAATTAACTGAAAAAATTTGTGAGTAAAAAATTTTAAACAAGGATTATTAAGGTATGCAAAGAAAAATAAATTAGATTATGAATAAATATGATGGTGAAAAAGGTTTTTTTTTTGTCAGTTTTAAATAATTGTAAATGTATATATATAAATGCCAGTTTTAAATGATTGTAAAACACGCTAACTTTGTTGATTTAAAAATTTAATTGCTATTTTAAAGTGAAAATAGACAGTTTCAACCCTTAGAAAAAATACATATCTGATCAGATTTACGAGTCAAGAACAAATTATAACAAAGCACAAATTGAGTTATTAATAAAATATAAAATCTCTACAAATTAAATAAACTCAGCACAATGAAAATAAATATATTATGATCTTATAAAATCTAAAAATGACTAAAAAATATTGCAATTGTATTTTATACACATAAAAGTTTTCAAGTTAAAAAATAATAATTCTATAATTTAAATTGTTATTCTTTAATAAAAATTAATACAACACTTTGAAACTGTAAACTAATAATTGCACTGCTTTTCAATTTTTAAAAGTGTTTAACATTTCTTTTATTTCCTCTTTTTGAAATAATTTGCTTCAATTAATGCAATAGCAAGTTTTTAATTTGTTATAAACTTAAGTAATTCTGAAGAAATAGTCTTTATGTATACATTAATTATAAATTTTTTTTCTCAAATGATCTTACCTCCTTATAAAAACATAATATATATATTTATATAATACACCAGTAGTACTCAACCTATGGCTCATGGGCGAAAAGTGTCCCACAAAATACTATAACCAGGTCCCTGAACTATCTAATACAGTACAGAACCTGTTATCCGGAAATCAGAAAACCGGAAAACCAAAAAACCAGAACGAAATTTGATAAATTTTCCCACTATTTTTAAAAAAAAAAAATGTTTTTCTTCATAAGATTTTATGATTTTTTTTTCTTTTTTGAAAGATGTTTACCTTACCATTATGTTGGAAATAATCATTAGTGTATTACTTCATCGTTTTTTCCTCTTTTTAAGATTATTTCCAAATATTTTTTTTTTTTAGTTGGGTTTAACAATAAAAAAAAATGGCTTTTTGTAGCGATTCAGAAAACCGGAAAAATCAGTTATCCGGAATAGCAATGGTCCCGATCTTTCCGGATAATTGGTTCTCTACTGTATATTAATAAGAATACAAAAGGGAAAAAAAGTAGCTTAATTTTTTCTTTTAAAGCAATGTTCTGTGACAGAAAATTACTGATCTAGTTCATAACCTTTATCATAGTATCAGAATGTAACTAATTCATTATAAAAGTTCAATTCATATCAATGGGTTCAGTATTTGCAATGAAATGTAATTACTTAAGTTTGTGAGCAAATAAACTAAGAAAGAAAAAAATCAAAGATGATAAGGTGAGTAAAAAATATATATATATAATTTCAAATTTCCAACAACAATCATCACATATATATTTTACCGCATTAGTAACAAAGTTTATATTCTAAATAATAGTTAAATTTTAAGACAAAAGCAATATCTTTTTTTTAATATTTTTATAAATCTAACATAATTTGACTTGTAATCTAATAAGTATATTTGCTTAAATTTATTTTATTATTTTAATTATTTTCCCAGGAACAGAAGAATTATATATCAGTAGCTCATTCATACTACCTTTCAAACCAGTAGTCAGAAAAACTACATAATTTTTGTAATTTACTACAGCTATTTTATTACAAATGTAGTTCACTATAGCTACTTCATTTTAAATCTAAAAATAACAAAATGCTTTTGAAATGTAGTAACTATTTCACTACTCTAAGGAACCAAAGTTTACGGGAGAACTTCAAAACGGCTTTGAATAAAAAATTAGCTTACATAAAATATAATGGAATTATTAAGAAATATTAATTTATATTTACTCAAGACAGATTTCTATTTCAAAACCTTTTTAATGAATTTGCTCATTTAACCTTTAATGCCTTTTTCGACAGCGAATATTTAAGTTAAAAAATGCGAAATTAGCAAATACTTGCAATTTTTTAATTGCTTAATGCTCTTATATTTCCTCTAAGAAATTAAAAACATCAAAAATATGTTCCCTTTCTTTAAAATAACATCAATGTTTCACGAGTGTACACTTTTATGAGTAAGTGCTACAAAAGTGATTAATTAATTATCTACTTTTGATAGGGCTAGTTTAAATATTAGTTATATTTGATTCTAGATACGTAATTCCTGTTAACACTCAACTGCGGTCACAGGGTCATTTTCATTAATGGACACGCGAAGGTTGACACCCATCAAATTCGCAAAATTAGTTGCAATAAGAGTTGTGTTCCCCTATTAAACTAACATTAAAAGTAGTTGCCAGGAATCATTACAAATTACTATTTTTTTGTATAGCACTACTCACTATGCTACTTTTTTTAAAAAGTAGCACACTACGTACAAACTATGAAAAAAGGCAGCGACTACTACTTATAGTGCGCTAGTTCAGACCACTGTTTCAAACAGAGCCTTAATACTACTTGCAGATTATAATTAGAATGCTATGTTAGTGTTTGCTCCCAGACACTGTTTTATTTTGTGGCCAACTACCTAAAAATGGTTGGGCATTCATGAATTACATTAAAAGTATTATATTACTGAACATCCCTGTATTACATTACTGAAAATCATTTCTTGAATGTAAAGGGAATGTTCTATTAAGAAAACTTCAAAACATACTCTAAAAATATTTTATAACAGTATCATAAATAACAGTTTATCATTAAAAAAAATTAGTTACTTCTATTTATAAAACTTTTACATTTAAAATTTAAAAGGTATCATCTAAAATAAAAACAACTCAGTTCTAGAAACTGCAAGAATATTAACATAATAAAAACAAAATTCAACGAGTAGAAACCGATTATTTATGTTACGTTTTAAGTACTTATATTATGCATAATAGCATTTTTCGTCAAGAAATAGAAGATTTTACAGCAAGCAATTTCTCACAGTCACTTAGTTTAAACGTATAATGCATATAGAAACAAGACAATTAAGAGAACATTTTAGTCACACGAAATTTCAAAATGAAACGTTTTACTTACTTTATCAAACACAGGCTTCCAGTACTGAAAAAGAAAACGCAATCAATATATTTTAAAGTTTGAAAAACAAAATTAAAATAGAAAAAAATAAATTAACATACCCTATCCATTTCAACAGAATCCCACTCTAAACTAGAACCACGAGAATACATTTTCTGTACTCTTCTTTCTGACATTTTGACTAGAATTAAATGTCAATAATTGATTGTGATTAGGTTCAAATGTGTTCTCTAACCTTTTAAAATAGATACGAGATATTGTTATGTATCGTCTAAATTAGATATGACCCAAAGAAATAATCAGGCATGACTCACTTCCTCAGGTCATTTTTATTTGTTGACATGGTGACATATTTGACAACATTAACAGCAAAGGTTACAGTTAAATGAGAAAAGGATGCATGATTTGATTCAGTTTCTACATCTGAGAAATTGGCGATCAAAATGGGCTACAGGTGGCGTAAAGCAGAACTCTCTTCCTATGGCAACACTTCACAAGCCTTCATTATTAGCGTATAGAGGGTCATAGAAGAAGGAAGTACGTTAGTTCCTGTCTCGATTTTCATATAGATTAAAATCTTTTTAATTGGAAAACAATATGGAACTTAAAACTGCATTAAACATAGTTCTAAAAGAAAGCATCATAGAAATATTTCTATTAATTAGGGCAGGGAGAAGGGCCAAAGGCATGGAACTGGAACAGCTCTTCAGATGGCGTATTCGAGCATTGCGATCATCTATTCTACATTCTACAGGAATCTAATTGACTGACCACTGTCGCAGAAAAGGGGGCTCATTTTACGTTTGTTCTCGTTCTTAGAGAAACTAAAAAAATAGCTTTTTAACTCTAAGACGGATTTATTTATTTTCAAAATGGTTTTATCATTTCATTCAACATTAATTATTCTTAAATTGTTTATTATTTTGATTTGATTAATTTGAGAATTAATAATAATCAAAGTATTTAAATCTAAAAATTTTTGCTATGCAGTCATATGAAAGAGATTCATTTATATTAATTATTCATTTAAAAATAAATTTTAAATTTCTCTTGAAATCAAATAATGTTTGATAAATTTTCTTAAACTGATTCGCTGATTTGTAATCTAATAATAAAAACAAATATTGCAATTAAAAATTACTTTTTCTCCCCTTTAAGGTATTTTGATCACAAAAGAGCTAAAAAGTTTCAAATTTTCTTTTCACTCAAAAAACAAGGGACTTAACTCGATTTCAAACTCTTAAAAAGTTGTATTTTTATCTCAATTAGAAATTCACATGTAACTTCGTAATAACCCCCATACTGAACTTCAAGTAATATGGATTTTTTTTTTACCGTGAAAGCATGATAAATAAATATTATTAGTTATGCTGTCACTTCATCATTTATGAATAATTAAGCTTTGTTAATTTTTATAATTAACAATAATTATATATGCTAAATTTTTAAATTTGAAATAATAGTTACTTTTAATCTTTTTTAAAATATGTACTTAAAATCAGTTAATAATTAAAGTTAGGCTGCATAATATAATAAAAAATTATATTTCTTATTCGTAAATTATAGATCTCATAAATTATATTTCTGAATTTTTTCTCTGAATTCAGCTTTGTTTATGAGTCATAATTTTTGTTTTTATATTTGTTACGTTTATAAATTGTGTTATTTGCTATATTTTTTCATTTTGTAATAATTATTAATTTTCATATTTTTAAAATATGTATTTATAATAGCAATTAATACAGAATAATTAAAAAAAATGCAACGGCAAGTTTTATGTGGTGAAAAATTATAATAAAAATAGTTATAAAATTTAAATTTTAATTTTTGAAATTAAATTTAGGTGTCTACAATTTTTTACCTCCAAAAGCTTGTAGCTAAGTAAAAAATTTAGAGAATTCGTAACTTAAAATGATTCAAACAATTTAAGTAAGCATACCTAAATTCCAATGAGGTGAAGCGGGTTCGAATCCCAGCTGATGGCTAGTCGATGCAAATTCCACACCCACCTCTCATCGACTACTGTATACTACTCGATATTTTTGTACTACATCGACTGTGTACGTAAAATATCCCCAGTTGTAGATGGATCATGGGTAAGGGTTCCTCTGCCGTCTGTCTAACGTGTAAAGTGGTTTAACTAATAGAGACTGAGAAACAAGATAATAAGTAAAAGGAAATAAGAAGCACAATACGAATTCCGCACTGATCTCGTGTGCTGACTAGGACTGGGCTATAAATCGATATATCGCGACATATCGATTTAACGCCTATATCGGCAAACCGATACAGCGANAAATATCCTCAGTGGTAGACGGATCATGGCTTAGAGACACCTTTGCTGTCAGGTTAACCATGGGAGGTTTTCGTGTTTCTCCTCTCCATGTACGCAAATGAGGGTTAGTTTCATCAAGAAGTCCTCCACAAATGTAAAATTTCTCTCAATACTTTATCGAGAAGTTCTCTTGTCTTCTGAATTGGGTTCAAAATAGCAAGGTTACGGAATTGAACATCAACATTTCTAAACCTAAATTTGGTCGGCTGTTCAGCGATGGTTATGAAAAAAAACTTTCAAAAAAAACTTACCTAACAGTTAGAACATTAAGATAACATTAAGTTTGATACCAGCATGTGGAGGATTAAAACAGGAGTCTTAAAATCATTTTAATAAATATTCAACCAAATACACATTACACACAACAATTTAAATTTTTTAAGGAAATTTTAATTCTTCAAAATTTTAAATTTTTTTAAGTTTTGAAGAATATTTTCCTGCCCATCTTAAAGTTCATAAGACTTTAACGAAGGGCTAGCAAACAAATTTTTCGATAACAAGGAATGTAAATTCTTGTAATAGAAAAATTGGACTTTATTATATTAATCAACTTCATTTTATTTAACTTAAATTTAATTTTCAAAATTTTAATTTTACTTTATTCAAAACTTAACTTTATTAAATTTTGCTTTCTTAAATTTAGCTTTCATATATTTTAATTAACTGTAACTAGATTAATTAAATTCAATTTCGTCACTGCCTTGCAGTGCAAATTTTTTTTCCCGAAGCCGACAAACGACCGAAAAAAACCGAACAATAAAACCGAAAACATTTCTCCATGAATGGCAAAGGAGGGACATGGAAGAGAAATTACAATTAAAATAACACCTTGCTTACATACTTTGTTCTACCAGTATAAAAGAGGGAAAAATTATGAAATATATATATATATATATAAAAATTTATATATATATATTTAGTAAAAAATGTATTAAGACAAAAATGTATTATTAGTGAGTCCAAAAAGAAAATTGAAAAACGTAATAACAAAATCCAACACCTTTTTATTTAAAATGTATTAAACAAATGTAAACAAATATTTTATTCATTTTCTAAACTATTTGTATTAGTTATATCATTTCTTGATTTAATTTCTAATTTCTACCACACCGCAATTGCACTCAAAATAAGAATATTTTAATGGCATTTTTATCGTCACCCTAAACCCTATAGTAAAACAAAAATATAAATTCAACTAATCAATAAATATTAAAAACTGTAACACATAAAACAATATGTATGAAAATAATTTCTCGAACATTTTTTATGCCAATCAAAACCAATTCACTAAAAATAAACATTTCTCAGGAGAAAAAAATTTTCAACAGTAAATACGATCAGTGTATAAAAAATAATAGTTTCAATTAAAACATCAAGTATGAGAAAAAAATTTATAATCATAATCTAATTAATCATTAAAAATCAAAGAAATAAATGTTTTCAAAAAAAAATATTTAAAGGATACAAAGCTGGATAAAGTTCGAATTAATCCAAAACATATCTTGAAAGCCACAACATCAATTTAAAGTTAATAGGAAAGAATTATACATTTTTTTTTCTTTTCGTGAAAATGATTCATAAATTCACGCAGAGCGAAGGAGAAATTGAAGCTTATTTTTCTTTGAGTTCTGAGTAGGAGGCATGGGAATGTCGAACATCTAAGTAGACCATCGTAAACCATTCCGGAGTGTAATAACACTTCATCGACGATTAAATCCAAAGCAGTGGGGAGTCCAAGGGTGGTGAAATATTGAAGCTCAACTCTCTAGTTGCATCCTTCGCCTTCAGAACGTTAGACATAAAATGCAGCATACACAAACGGAAGGTAGTACACGAACGGAAAGTACCACTGGATGTAGGTATCATTTAAACAAATGAAAAGTTTGACGATTAAAGAATTTGCCTTTTGTTGAAGATACTCGATGAATTATTAATTACCATGAGTTGCAGAAAAATTTGACTTTATAAATTTTCAACTGTCCATGCGAATGAGATATTCAATATTTTCGATGCATTTTTTCACCGCTGATTTTTCCGAAGTCCCAGCCGGGCTCCGCTAATCTTAATTTTTGAGATAGAAATGCGTAAATTTCCTCCGCAAGCAACTATGCTGC